TACAAACTCACACACAAAAACCACAACACACTCCTCTCCCACCTCCACATTAAAAACAACTCTTGAAAACAAAAAAACACATTACTAACCAAGAAAATCACATTTTTTCCTCCCAAAAAATTCACTTTAAACACCCCACCTTCATATTTGAACATAAACTCAACACACACTCAACACACAAACTTGTGTGTAGCTTTCAGCACGGAGGCCCCCGCTCCAACTTTATGTCAAAAACCCGGGAAACATAAGTCATACCCGAACTGTAGCCTCTAATTAGCGTTAGCTTCCTTCAGCCAGAGAAAACTGACCACCGCTGTTGTGTAACCAAACGCGTATAGAATGACACACAGCTCCGGCCAGATTCAGATAAATATTTTCAGACAGGTGATTGATTATTTGGAAGTGGAGGAAACCAGCAGGACCTCACGCCCGGAGGACGCTCGGGAGGGACTCTGCCCACATCCAAGTCGGCCATTTTGATTAGGTCACCAATAGGAAGATCCCAGGCAAAAAAATCCTAATTGCTTCATGGCAATATAGACATTAATTTAAAAATAGTGAAGTTAATCTACCACTGAATTCAACTTTATACATAATATTATGTTAAAATAGTGGATGTTAAATAGGTTTGTACAATAAGTCCAAACAAGTTTAACCCAAACATTTTTATTTCTCACAATTATGAAGGGTTAGGGTTAGGGTAAGAGTTAGGTTTATGGTCAGGGTTAGGGTGAGGTTTAGGGTCAGGTTTACGGTTGGATTTAGGGTCAGGGTTAGGTTTATGGTCAGGGTTAGGTTTAGAGTCAGAGTTAGGTTTAGGGTCAGGTTTAGGGTTAGGTTTAGGGTCAGGGTTAGGTTTAGGGTTAGGTTTATGGTCAGGATTAGGTATAGTGTTAGGGTGAAGTTTAGGATCAGGGTTAGGTTTAGGGTTGGGTTTAGGATCAGGGTTAGGTTTAGGATAAGGTTTAGGTTTATGGTCAGGGTTAGGTTTAGGGTCAGGGTTAAGACATAGTTTATATTCCAATTTCGTATAGACAGTAAATTTTCGTTTCCACCTCAGAAAGCTGCTAGTCACATGACCTAATAAAAATGGCCGACTTGGATATGGGCGGAGTTGGATATCCATCCTTGGCTTCCTACAGACTCCCCCCAGTAACGGGGGGTTAGGGTTAGGGTTAGGGCTAGGTACCTTTCGCCCGGCCTCGTTGTTGTGGAGGTTCATGAGCCGGCGTGCGTTTTTCCTGATTTCGCGGGCGTCCACGAAGCGGCGCGAGAACTCCACGCCGTATTTAACGTCCGCGGAGCAGCCGCCCCACCTCCAGCCCTCCGCCCGGTCCTGGTAGCCCTGCTTGTCGCGGTCGCAGCCGCACTGGCTCAGGTTGCCATGGCTACAGGCCGCCGTCACGGCGTGCGCCACGCCGGCTGCCGTGACGGCGTAAGTGAACGCCGCCTCCCGGCTGCCTGAGGAGAGAACAACCAATCACATCACTCCTTTTTTATTTTTATTTTATTTTTTTCTCTGAAGGATCTTTTTTTTCTGGGAAGGATCTCCCAGTACAACCTAACCCTGACCCTAAACCTAACCCTGATCCTAAACCTGACCCTAAACCTAACCTTAAACCTGACCCTAACCCTAAACCTGACCCTAAACCTAACCTTAATCCTGACTCTAAACCTGACCCTAAACCTAACCTTAATCCTGACCCTAAACCTGACCCTAACCCTTACCCTAAACCTAACCCTGACCCTAAACCTAACCTTAATCCTGACCCTAAACCTGACCCTAACCCTAAACCTGACCCTAAACCTAACCTTAATCCTGACCCTAAACCTAACCCTGACCCTAAACCTAACCTTAATCCTGACCCTAAACCTGACCCTAACCCTAAACCTGACCCTAAACCTAACCTTAATCCTGACCCTAAACCTGACCCTAACCCTAAACCTGACCTTAAACCTGACCCTTGTTTTTTTGTCCTGTCGATGCTTCAGTTTCTAGCTGGCTTTAGCTGGAATTAAATGCATAAATCATCGGCCCTCCTGTGGCTCCATTTTAGTGCAAAACAACTTCTTTCCAGTTCCTTAGGGCATTTTTTTGGGTGGATAAAGGTTCATTTATCTGAATATGTTAGTCAGTGAGATGTTTTGCCAGTCAGGTTCCTCGTTTTTACACAATATATTTATTGTTTTGGTGCTCTTTCACCCTATAATGATGTCATTTGTTCTCGGGAATAGGAGTGTGGGTGCATTAATGTGATTGAGTCTCATGAATGGAGGTGAAAATGATGAAGAAAATCAGGCTTCTGTTTGATTTTTTGACCCAAACATGGTTTAGAAATTATGTGTTTTATGTCTGATATGATATCATCTGTTGTTAATCTGAGGTTATATGGACCATTTGCCCATTCCTGGTTACAAATAAGTTACAAATTCTGGACAAAACATCAGAGTTCTTCTGGTTTTAACCAATAAACCTGAAAAAGTAAGCTAACGGTGTTTGGAGCCTCAGTTGGCTGATGTTTATATTTAAGTTAATTCCAGTTTTATCCTGAATAATTCTAATTAATTCCAGTATTATCCTGAATAATTCTATTTAATTCCAGTTTTATCGACCGTAGCTGAGGAAGACTAACGCCCCCCAGAACCTGGACCGGTGCTGGCCCCCCTCCAGCCTCTAAAAGGGCCTGTGGTTCTGGGGGTGGGGGGGGGGGGGGGGGGGGCATGCGGCCTTCTCTGATTTGTTTTGATTGAACAGCAGCATGCAGGGCTCCATTGTTGCCGTCCGGCTGCTGGAGCTGACTTCAATTAGTGGTTTCTGCATGACTCTCTCTCGAGTTTCGGAGCTTTAATGAGTCCACAGGCCGTGTTGGGTAAGTTACTTTAAAAATGTAATCCGTTACAGTTACAAGTTACCTTGTTTAAAATGTAATTGT